AATGCTTCGAATTGGCTTCCAAAACCAACAACAGACAAATAGCCAGAAATAGTGGTGGATGGAATCACAGAAACTATGTACAGGAAAGCTTCGCTTCGTAACGACCGTAACAAAACTCGAAGTTTCCAAATAACACAGCAAAAGATCACGGCTGGATCGAACAGCTCGGAACGAGAACAATCTTTCAGTAGAAATATTCATTCTTTACATTTGAGAACACTTCATAAATAATCTTCGTAAAAGTTTAATTATTGAGAATAACTAATACAAAGGAAGAGACTACTCGCTTTTGAAACATTGGCAAAGGAATGCATTAAGTATGCGTCTGTAAATATAAAAAGAAAATCTCGAAAGAACCAACGAGCTTTACATATGTACAAGGCATCAATAAAACATGAAAACAACGTCAAATTCTTCAAATTGATAAGAAGCATACGTGCCGGAATTTCAGCTGCCAATCAATGAAGTTATCAGAAACCTGCTGGTTTCGGACTAAAACTATCACACAGAAATAAAACATTTCTAATAACCTGTATTCACAATCGTACTCAACTCAACAAGTCTTCGTATTTAGCCCAAGGATTTTCAATAAGGAAATGTTCCAATACTTCCTTCATGGCGAGGTTCGGAATAAGATCGGCCTCAGTGAGCGGAGCTCGTGTGACAGGATCAAAATGACCTGGCAATGTCAGCATCAATCTCATTGAGTATCATCAATATCGAACAACTGTTTCACATTTCAAAATTTTGCAGCGTAATGGAAAAAAAACGCCAGTTCATGACGATATATCTGGCTACCGGTGCCAAAAGGGTTGAAATGAACCGAAACAACTACAAATTATTCAAAAGTGAACCGGAGAGGAGCGTCAGTTGAGACTATCAACGTCCTCTATCATCCTAATATGTGAGCATATGCTACCATAGAGAGATTGGAAAGATTTTATAGAAAGCTGCTTGAACTTACCAACTCGGTGAAGATGCTGTTTGATGTCAGCACGATCGTAGGTAATGCCGGATGGAGTGATTACAGGATCCTGTAGCAACGAGCATGATATTTTTCCGCAAAGGAAATCCGGAATTTCACGTTTGCGACGTCGATCATCGATCTAAAAATACCAAATCACGTGAAAATAAGGAACAGAGGTAGTAGTTATGTTATATTTGTCGATATCGGGAGATTCGAGCACTGCAAAGAGTAAAGATGAAGCCGATCCCGACGCCGCAAAGGTGAGCACGTGTCTAAGAACCTTTCCTTAATGCAGCCAGAGAGTAGGAATACCGAGCACGATTTTCTCCAAAGTATGGTCTGGACTTGGAAAAATAAAGAATTAAAGCTTTCAACGTTAATTAGTTCCCTATGGGATGCGCCGTGCATTATACTTTCTCTCAGAACTGTAACGGTATTTAAAGACCTAAACTGACTTCAATGGCCATTCGATGTATGGATCAGGGCTTTTATCATTCCAGACTAACTGATAACAATGACTTACCCTCCGGCAGGAATGGAAGGTCTGGTAGCTGGTGGAACTCAATCGCGAAATTTAGATCCATCATCTCATGCGATGGAAGTTGCGTGTTCGACCTGGAGTCACTAAAATTAATCACCGTGTAGGCGTGCTACGATAGCACAAAAGTGTGTAGTGTTTTCAATTGCAAGATTACATAGACGAATCTCTACGAGATCGGTGGAGCACGCGTAGAAAAGTCCATCCGTGTTTAATTCGCTCTGCGCACATATGCGTTCGAATTCACTAGTCGGGTTGTCCGGTAGTCACCGATACGTGACACCCGCAAAGCTTAGATGCATATCGACCGTTGGACGTGTCCAAGGATTGGAAGACCGTACTCGAAAAACTGAAAAACAGGAGCGAAAAAGACGCTTGTGCGAGTCGTTACGACGGAGCAACACGACTACTAATGCCATGATGGATTGATTTCCGCCTTATGTGACGAAAAAAAAAAAATCCGCATCACAGGAGGACAAAGAAGGAAATTATTCTTAGAAACACGATGCTACTCAAGCACATAGAGCATATCTTTTTAACCAAAACTCGAGAAAAGAGATGTAATACCTTCGTCCCTGTGCAAATCAGTGACTCAAGCTGAGGCTAATGTGCTCCCTCTGTGTGAATGCTCCACTTTACTCTTTCACCACCTCGTTCTATGAGTGCCCTCGCCTTCACTGCGTGAGCATCACGACTCAGCAGCAGACTCAGCGGAAACAACCTCAGCTATTCGTCGACTTGTGTCTTCCTCAATCAGCCTGCAACGCTTGCATAATTTTTGTTTTCGGGCAGAAATTTGCGTAAAAGCAGAAAAACGCAGGTTAAAAATATTGGGAAGCAAAGTAACACACAGTTCTGAAAACTTACTTCCTTAAGTAGATCTGCAGTTCACCCTCTTCCTTAACTCGTTTCTCCTCTTCCACTCGAAACTTTTCTCTTCGAGCGAGGCGCATTTGAGCATGAATTTCGTCGCCGAAATTCATCTGAAAGACTTTTCATAAAGAGAAACATTCAAAATCCAACTTAAAAAAAACAAAGCGAGTGCCAATTATTCAAGAGAACTCACTTTCTGACTGCTAGCTAATTCTTTAGCTTTTGTGATGAGCCGTATAGCTTCATTGTAGTTGCCTAATTGAATAGCTGCACGTCCGCCAAAATAGTAAGCCTTAATATGAGTAAATTCAAAAGTTTTCAAGAAGATTTTTGCTGTTTACGATTCACTTCTAACTATTTCAGGAACCGCAATAAAGTCATGATCATCAGTCCAACAGATATTCCGAATTTCTCAACGAAGTTCTCTGCCTAGGTGGTCTATATACCAACTCCTCTGAGGAACAACGGCCTTGATTCAAGGATAATCCTGTTGCAGCGAGATAGATGGTTAGAGTGAGTTAATAGCCACTTGAAGTTGTCCCAGTTATCATCTAGCGTGATCAGAAATGATTGTTACCTTCCTCACAGATCAAGAAAAACCTAGAATATACCCCAAATTCTTCTCTTGCTTTCTAGAAAACAAATGGAGCGTGTACGAATCAGCGATTACTCGCCGTAGGACGCTTTCAAAGTCGGTCGCGGTCGCAAGGTTCGCAACGATCGCTCAGCATTAGATACGTATCGATCGTCGGGCCCGATCGGGTGCGTAGGAAACGAACCACTTTAGACGATCGTTATATCTATCGTTATGCTATCGTTACGATCGGACCTCAATAATGAATGCGCCTTTAGTGACGAAGGAAAGCGGTAATTCAAGAAGTAAGCGAACTATTGTTGCCCGCGATCGGGTCCGATTTGGTTTAGACGACGAGTCACTCAAGGCTGTTTTCGGCGTAATATGGGTCGTGGGGGGATGGGGGGGGGCACTCTGTAAAAAGGCATCTAGGACTAAGCCTAGGCAGCAGGGACGAACTCCGGAGAATACGAAAATTGCTTCCGTACACCGGAGTTCCTCTCCTCTTCAAAAGCTTAGTCCTAAAACGGAGCGTTTCCGTGATTTTGACGCGATGTTGCGAGGTGCCCCCGAGCCACATTGCGCCCGTTTTCTCTTGTTACCCCGGGC